TTATTAATTATTTTCCAATCATCCAGATTTAAATAAATTTCTTTTAATTCAGGACTAGATTGCACATGACCATCAGTAATATCTTGAATTTGACAAGCTGTTCAAGCATAAAATAGCTGAAATTCTATCTAGTTTCAATATCAAGTATAGGATGAAAAAATAAATGATTTAAAATTGCTAAAATTCTTTTTATCTCTTCTAAAAGTAAAAGTAAGTTTCATATTTTGTTGCTAAATTGATATGCTTTTTGCATCTGACTTATGTATTTTTGTTGACCTGCCTTAACAACAAGATTTAAAATGTGTATCGTACATTATACATATGTAAAATCAGGAGTTATAAATCTTTGAAGATATTGTAAATAGCTTTGATTATTTGTTGCATTGTCTACTATAAAACCAATTAATTTATCTTTAATTTTTAAATCCTTATAAGTTTAAGAATTATTTTTCCAAAATAATCATCTGTATAAGAATCATATAGAGGGATAAGATTGAGAAAAAGAGTTTTGATTGACCACTCAGAACTAATCCAATGAACAGTAACTTCAAGAAAACATTGTCGTGTATATGCAGTTCATGTATCTATAGTAAGTGCTAATTTTGATAAATTCTTTTTTAAAATATTATATACTTTATTTTTAGTCAATTCGAATTGCTTTTTAACAATTATAGAAATTGTTTGACAGCAAGGGATTTTGTAATATAAATCAAATTATTAAATAACTTGATTAAAGAAGCTTCTTCAACTACAGAAAAAGGTTGTTGACTAAGGACAATCCATTTCCATAAGTCTTTGTTTAATGATTCTATATGATTTTTCTCAATTATTTCAACTGTTGAATATAAAGAAAGATGCGTAGCTTTTATGTTTCGTCTAAGATTTTGAAAGGTATGTGGATGCTTGTTCTCAAAATGGTGAGTTATTGTTGATAATGATATGTTTATTCCCATTTATTACTACAAAGTTTGCAATTGCAGGAGCCATTTTTAAGTATATAAAGATAATCATAAATAGGTGCAGGTTTCCGTTTACTTTTTGTTTTTTTTTATATTGTGAGTATTACTGATATTTTCTTCTTCTAAATTACTATTACTTTCGACAGAACTTGATATATCTTCAAAAGAAAGACTAGTATCAAATGGATATTCCATTGTCAAAGCTAATAAATTTTTTAAAGATATAGAATTTAATAAATTTTCAGAGAATATAAAAGTTGAAGAGTTTATGAAAGATACAGAAGCTGGTGAATTTGTAGGTGAATCTAATAAGTTTAAATTAAACATTGATAAATTAATAAGCAAAAAAGTGAAAAAAAGAAATTACTTTTATAATTTTAAATAAATTGATACTAACCATTTTTTTTCAAAGATTTTTGTTAAACCATCTTGACAATTTTTTTGAAACTATTATAACAATAATCATTTGTATTATTAAATCATATAATGATCTTACCTAATTTATCAAATACTCTTTGTTTAATTTAAATAATAACTTAAATAATGATGACATTTTTTTAGATAATTAATATATTTGTATATATATATATAATTACATCTATTTAATATATCATGTGACTATATTGATTCAAACTTAAAGTTCTGAATATAAAGTTCTGATTTCAAGTAATTCAAGTCAAATAGACTTAAAGACTGACTCTAATAAACTTTTTAATAACCCTAGATGCAAGCTTTTATTAAGATTAACTTAACCTTGAATACTTGTATCTTTAATATAATATTAATTATTTTATATAAACTATATATTATTAGATACTGTATATATAGATTAATAATAATTCATTACAATTGTTCTAATTGAACCTGCTTACTATTCTGAAAATGGTACAGACTTAACTAGAAGCCAGTGGTTTATAAGAATCATAAATAGTGATATTGATATAGTTAATGAGTTTGATTACTTAAGGTTTTTTTTACTATACTAACTTATATATTAGATTAAATTCTCAAGGATTAGTTTTATCTATTCAGATATCCTAATACTTTTTATATGAACTTTGGAAAAGATTTCTATTCTTTTTGTTACCACTTATGACATTATAGATGAGTTCTATTTGACAAGTCCTTTATTTAAACAAGTACTGGATTGGGATATTTTAAGCTAAAATAATTAGAGGTTTTAGAGGTTACTAGGATAGGGGATTATGTAATGTTTAGATGGTTATTACAGTCCTAAAAGTGGAGTTCTGAATTTTTTTTTCTATTCAGTTTAGGAAGGTATACAGGCATAAATTAGTAATTAAACTAAATGCCTTTTTTTATACAATCTTGGTGATATATTTATTTCAATTTAATAATTAATAGGAAGGTCAAAAGTTCCATCCTTATGTAACCTGATTATTTTTTTTTTATATGGTTCTTGTATGATATTGAATTCTAAATTTTGTAATTGTAACCTGGGAGCACTACCACTGTGCTATAGATTCACAAATTATTTATTTTTATTTTTATATAATACAATTATATATTTTTAAATATTTTTTTTCTTCTTTTATTTTTTTTTTCTTTTATAGTTTTTCAAAATCAATTTTTTAAAACATAGTAAGTAATAATAATCTATTAATAATAATATATAAATTATAAGGATATTTATTCAAAATTTATTACAGAGTGAAATATTGTTCTCAAGATCATATTTAAATGCTGATGTTTATTTGAAAATTAAAAGCTATTGATAAGTGAGTCAATAAAAGATTTAGTTTGATCATAATTTAATTAACTTATATATTTCTATCAGGTTTTTTAATCATTAATAAATATATGGTACTAATCTGATATATGTTCAAAAAAAAAATAAATAAGAATTTAATAAATTGAATTTCTTTTATCTTTAAAAAAAAAAATTAAATTAATTAATGTTTAATTTGAAAAAAGAGATATTTACAAAAAATAATTAATATATTAAAAATAAAAATAAAATTATTAATTCAATAATTGATTAAAAAAAGCTTAATAAAAATATATCTAATTAATTTTAATATTTTAGATAGAATATTTTATGCAATATACAGTATATATTTCAATAAAGAAACTTGCAATGATGTTATAACCCTATATAGAAAAATATTTGAAACAAGATTTTATATATGATACAATATCAAACAGTTACATTTATAATAAAAAAAAATGTATGAATTCAAAAGTATATAAAAAATAAAATCAGAAAGTCACAGAATATCTTGATTTTGCCAGTTTAACAATAAAAAGATCTCAAAAATAGGTATATTATTTGTCTTAAACAAAGTTAATCAAAATATTGTATTAGAAATTCAAAAATATTTTTGAGTATCATATTGAAATTGCCTTAATAGAAAAAAGCAATTTTGTTATAGCAAAACTAGCACTAGTCAATAGCTTATAAATAATACATCAAAGCTAAAGAAAGAAAGATCTTTTAAGTCTTAGAATAATATTTTATTTATTAAAGACAAAACATATACCATTTCTGAAGAAATACAAGATTATATTTCTAGGTCAACTGATAAATACTATCACAGGAATAGTAATAAAAAGACTAGAGAACTATCAGTTTTATTGAAAAAAAAAAAATCAAAGGTTCTCTAAAAAAATTTTTTTTTTTTTTTGGATAATCAATGTCCAAACAAAAAAATCAATAAAAAATTATTATTCAAAATAGAGAGTATTTTTTAAAGAAACAGAAATACTGTAAGTTCAGGAAAAGAAGCACGGAATGGACTCAATGCCATGAAAAATCTGCTACCACAATAAAAATCACGCCATATTTAGACGTGCACTGTCCTGCCGCATAACCAAACTCGGAATTCTGCGTTCCGTGTGATTATATGCATCGATGATTAAGCAATCCGTGGGCTAAACATGCACATAATTCATGCAAAAAGTTTTGTTTTATAATTGTCGACCTCATGGTCAGTAAGTTGGACTTCAAATAGTCCCATCAATGTGCGCACATTATTGAAGGCCGTGTAACGGACTCGATTGGTCACATGTAAAACAAACACAAAACTTTTACTAGTTTCCGCATAGTAAAATTTGAAGTCTACATTTGCGGAAAACAAGGATTTATCTAAAACTTTACATATTTATAATGCAGCACTGTCAAGTTAACCCTAGTTGATAAAGAAACAAAGAACATACTCTGTGTTCCTCTATAAATTACATTGTTGTATTTCCATACACGTCGGCAGCACTGCAATGTTTTTTTTTAAAAAATACATATTACGCGTCGATGGAATTTGTCTTTCGCATTGTTCGATCACAAAGTTCGAACAATGCAAAAGTATGGTGCATCCATTTCGACAGATTGATTTGCCAAAAACAAAGACAGTAGGGAAAATGAAATTGAGTCTAAAGATAATATCCAGAGAAGTTCCTTGATTTTGAAGGGTAAATTAAATTTTTGTTAGTATGATCAATTGAAACCGGTTTAAATTATAATTTAGGTCATTCCTCATATCGATAGCTTTATTTTGATAAATTAATTGTGCATATTAAAATTTCGACATATAGTGTTAGTGGTCGAAGGGAGGTCGCTTAAAGAAAACATCGTAATTAATTCATACTTTTAAGAAACGAAGCTCATATTGAATTAATAGCAATAATGATGATGATGAATCTGCGCTATCATTTAAATAGGGTGAGTTCTTTTTTTTTTTTAAAAAAAAAAAAAAAGAAAGAAAGAATATAGTGCAGAAAAAATTTCTCTCGGTAAATGCTTAGCTGTCGGTGATTTTCGGGAGGAAATAAATAAATAAATAAATAAATTATATTACATATGTTATCCACAACATTTTGGTTGAGTCGAATTAAATGTTCATCAAGTATTCGCAGGTTTTCGACCAATTATGCGGTAAATATTGAGGTGCGATTTATACAAATCGCATTCTTGGACATACAGGTTTAGCATTTTCTCGTGATCTTTGGGCTTAATATTAAGCGATTTTCCAAATTTCTCAAGAGGCTTGCTGAGAGATTCGCGTATGTATTCCGATCCGTACTCGCCTAATCTTCCACCCCAGGATTTCCCTAACTGAATTGCAGGAATGAATAATTCATTTTCTTATTGTCATCTTCGTTCTTATAACGAGATGAGTGAAAACCTCATGGAATTATACCTACCGGGAAAACCCTCTTCACCGTCTGAATATCCTCGAGATTCATATTTTGCATGAATTCGGGAACTCGAAGTACAATCGAAGGATTAACCCCTTTTGGCCTTAAGGTATTTATGACTACTTAAAAAAAAAGAATGTATATAAAGGTAAACAATAAATTCTTGCGATAGTAGAAAAAGTGAGCAGAGATTCGTGGCTCAGAACAATAAACTTACGGCTGTTGAATACTCGCATTGTTTCGGGTCCTCCTGCGCCGAGGATGAGATCGCCATCCATTATCTGGAGGGAATTTAATTAGTCACTCAGTTAACATTTTATCACAGGCAGAATGAAGATAAATTTAGCTTGCTTGTACCTCTAACCAACCACTAGGCTTTAAAACGCGAATCAATTCTCTTTCAGTATTGAAAAACAATACATCGAGGAGATTAGAACAGGATGGGACCAGGAAATAAGCAACTTTTTTTTTTTCCCTTAAATACGTACGGTATGACGTCATCCTTCCATTGAGCCTCCGAAAACTCCATAACCATAAATCTCATGAACACATAATCGAAGGTCTCGTCAGGATATGACAGACCCTTTAAGATGTCACCGATAACGAATTGAACGCAAAAAGGCTTCGTTTCGGGAGCCAGGGACAACATATCTAGCCCAATAAATGTATTTCCACGGTAATCGGACGACATTTCTAAGACCCAGGTTCCAGGGCCGCATCTAGTAATAGTAGACCGGATTGAGCCGTTTGTTAGAGTGAATGAGGCATACCGTGAGCTCAGAACGATAGCAAGAAAACCGAGACCAACCCGACTTCCAGAACTTGAGCATTTCTAGTTTGCAGGATATCTTCCACGGGTGCAGAGAAATTTCCTCCAAACATCTCTCGCACAATATTGTGAGCGAGATGTCTTCTGTCTTTCTCATTGTCATCGATCTGTGGACGGAGTTCATGGTAATTATTTACCGGCTTCTGAGAAGATTTATTCAAGGAATTCCCCATTCGTGCGGAAAATCAAATGGAAACGGGAATGGTAAGGAAAGGATCTCTTAGGAAGGGGGGAATGGAAATGAGCTTTTTTTTTTTTTTGTTGATTGGTAAAATAAGAAAAAATCTGTTCGTAAGACTTCAATCATGTTCCAATATTTAGGTTCACCAATCAATTAACCGAGTTTTTCCAATTTGGGCCCGAGACCAATTAAGTTGAAAATCTTCTTAATACATTTTTAAGTCATCATCCATTAGTCCATGAGTGTAAAGACTTTCGGTCGTACTGTGTTCCACATTTAAAGTTGCACCGTCGCACA